ATCTCCCGAGAACATCTTGTGCTGAGCTCATTCGTGAAATGGGATTTGTGGCCAGAATTTACCCTCATGGCCGTCATCCATACTAAAATCACACCCCCGCTCGATACTGTTTATGAGGATGTTTCCGTATTCGATAAATTTTCTTTCCGCCAAGGGTGGAAGGGTGGGGGGAGTGGAAATGGAGGCCGAAATGGGACAAATCGAAAATGCCTCGGGATGTCCTCTGCCGAGGGGTTGTTGAACAAAAATTTATCGACAGAGGGCAGGAGGGTAGGAAAATCCCTATGCTAATTGCAGAAGATGCGGAAAATGTTGTCCTTCAATTTATCTTTTCTAATTCACCCCCAGAATTCTCGCACTGTCTCTGAGAGATTAAAAACTCTGATGGGGATGTGGAAAAAGGGGTGTTTGGAAAATTTTCAGTGAGACTTCACCCTTGCTGGGCGCGCGCTAAAGCTCGCCTGTCACACCGAATTTATTCCAAAGGGCGGAAAAGTGTGCAGAGCAGAAAAAAAGAGATCGGAAATGATCCGCGTTATTTCTGTACATTTTATGATTTATTGCTATGCGATTTTTATGCGGGCGCGGCTCGTGAAATTCAATACAACTACGCATACACTAAACTTTTTTTTCTCCATGCCACCCCAACAACCCCACGAGGGACGGGCGCCGTTGGGGTGGCGTGTTTGCAGTACTTCGAGGCTGTTGAGGGCCTTCGGGGAGGGTGACATAATCGAATGCCACCCGCCTAGTTGATTTCTTTGACACTCACACGGGGAGTGAAGATGTTTGTCAGGTCGCCCCGCCGCCCCCCTGAGGATCCACCCGCCCTGCACGACATCACATAAGGTAATTGACACTCCACTCTCCCCCAAGCTCGAGAGCCCGAGATGAGATTAGTGGAAGTTTCTCTTTATGTGCCATTGTCGACGTGGCACGAGTGGAGCCAAATGCACTCATCGACTTCACAAGAGGGGACAAAACAGCACCCCAGCACTTGACTGGCAATATTACCGTGATGGTAATGATAGTGTCGTGATGTGGGGGTGAACATGATATCCCGATGTGCTTCCGCCTCACGTGCTTCTTGGGGTGGAATATCTCGGGGCAATTTGCGGGATTCTCTTCCCCAGATCACGGTGTGATTGAAATTTCTCGAAAATGTCCACTCCAGTCGAGGACCTCCGTCCCCAAGATGTGCTGGACGTCTGGCCACTTATGGTCACTCCTGCCGATCCACTCCAATGGCTTTCGCCTCCAATAAGTAACAATTTTTCGCACGTGACCTTCAACTGCCGAGCTCTTTGGGAATTGATATGGCGGCCAAAGAGGGACGAAGTAAATAATCTTCTTATCTGTATCGGACAGAGTACGAGTCAAAAGATCACTTTCCCATGCTCCAATGCACTTCTCAGCAAATTCAGTTACAATTTATCCTCAATTAATTGGTCACCCATGCCAAAGGTTAATGCTTGCTTTATCCGATTTAATAAATGACGAAACTGTGGCTTTAGAACTTGCAGAGTTCAATGACAGATTAAGAGTGGAGTTATGTACTTGCAAAAGCCACTCGAACTCACGGAGATTTGCCATCTCAGAATAATTATCAATAGCAATATAAGCGATTGCCTGAACACTATTCACACGCAAGGGGGAGATAGTATGATCGGAAGTGGTGTACAGCCCAGCAGAAGTATAAGAAAATGTGGAAGTGTTGAAGAAATTGCAATAATTCGCATTATTTTATCCTTTTTATTCTTAGAAATGTTAGAAATCAACTCTCACGCTTGCATTTTGATCATTTTGACAAATTTTTCTAGGTTATGTAACAGGATTTATGACAAAATAACACTTCAAAAGGGATATATTATTATATATCAAACATAACCTCAAATATTAGTACTTAACAGCTGCGATTTTGAGCTAGAAAGATTCTCAGAAGGAAGAAAAACATAAAAGATGATCTGAAAAAAATCTGATAAATCGTATTCTTCAAATTGAATTCTTCTCGGAAGTGTTAAGAATTTGTCATACAAATGGTTAGTCATATTATCTTCCCCTGTGTTCACAAGATTCTTCTAGAAATTCAATAGTTTTCTTTCAATCTCTCAAAGAAGACATGTCTAAATTTCATTTGAACTTGAAAATCGACAAATTCTACGAATTCTGAGTGTTTCTTATCGTGTCTTGAATGGCGGAAAACCTTTTTCCTTGATTGAAAGTTGCCCAAAAAATGTCATTACCCTCGAAAGCTGTTTGGCATCAAATACCTCCTCAATCCTTTCATGTTGATTTTCAACTTAAGACTCAATGAAGGCCACGTGTTTGTCTTTCATTAGGCACGGAACATTTGGTGTCCTTGCGGGAATTTCCCACGAACGAGGCGCCTTCGGGTCAAATGGTGAAAAGTGCAGAGCGAAGAGAGAGCTTAGGAAAATGTTTCTGCAAAAAGCTCAGTTCCACAAATTCTCAACCATTTTTCTCGTGTATAATTTGAAAATGTGAATTTGCGAGAAACAAATATAATTCTCTGCATTTTCCTTCCAATGTGAAAAATTCTCATGGCGCGCCTCCGTCTGGGTGGAGGAGATTTTGCAATTTTCATGAAACCATGACTCTTGTTCAGTTCATAAAATTCACTCTATCGCAATTTTTCTGTTCGTGCAAGATATCCCTTCGTCCCCATTTCACCTCCCACCCCGCCAGCCGAGGAGTGCGGTTGGTAGACAAGAAAATGCCCCGAAAACTTTGAATAAGGTTCTCTAAACATTGGATAGAGAGACCGAGTTCTTCGGCGCAAAACCACACATATAGTCAAGGTGGATTATACATAGCTCTCTCTCTCTCTCTGTTGATAAATTTAAATTTAATAGAATCCTTCCTCAGTCAGGACAAAGTTAAATATCGGGAGTAAAATTGCAAATTTCCTTTTCATTCGCTTATATACATAAGAGCCCAAGACATATGGGTGAATTTGGGAATAGCAAATATTTCTGGCGGAATTTCCCTTTGATTAAAGATGAAAAAGTTCGAGATAGAGAGAGAGAGATAAAGAAGTATAGAGAATTTCCCACCCAGAATGGAAAGTTGTAGGGAAAAGAAGCTCGTGGGGATTTGTCAAATTCACTCTCTCTAAGTGTGCTAACTTCGTTGAGGCATTCCATGCACGGAAAATAATTCTCGCTCAGCTGAAGAAATTGACACTGTCAGAAGCACTTTTGCCACAACTGAGAAAATGGAAAATTCCACCCTCATTATAATTTCCCATGCAGAATTGGATATTCTTATGGGGATGGCGATGAGCATAGTAAGAAAATGCTCATGGAAAATTTAATACACACACCCCAAAGCTTGGCGATGCTGTGGCATCAAAAGGAATTCCTGTCGCAATAAAAAAAAACAGTCTCAAGCTCTTGTTGTGCAAGACGAAGAAGAATGTGAAATTGCAGAGGAGAAATGCGTCAAGCTTCGAGGGAGTTTGAGTGCAATTTTGATTGCTGGTCATGACAACCTAAATAGTATGTAAATTCCCTGCATGAAGGACACCGAGGCAGAGACTAAAAGGCAAATTCCCTCGAAGGTCCTTTCCACTTGTATGCAAATTACATAATTAGATTTAACGACTTTTCCCTCAGCCTGTCAACTTATTAATTTTCACTTGTGTATTCGCATCACAAATCCTGGAGATTCTCTCAAACTCCTAGACTTTTCCACGTGTTTCACTCTACCTTTTGGCGCGTCTGAGGGTGAATTTCTGCTGCTCATTTCGGTCCCGCCACAGTGTAAATAACTGAAAATGCTCCACAAACCCTCATCTGGACATTTTCACACATACCACCAGAATATTTCCTCCGTCGGAATATAATTCAATTTCTTGATAAACTTGCCCGCACCATGCAAATGTGGAGACCCAAAAGCCATTCCCCATTCTCAGCGCGAATTGTGCTGCTATCAAGTCCCTCCGATTTCCATTCTCTTGTCAGGAGAATTTTCACCACGGCGAAATTCAGAAATTCTCACCGCACAAGGATTTCAAATCCTCCATTCGAATTTTCTTATTAAAATCCTGATCTGGGGACAGAGAAAGCGTCGAATAAATTCAATCTTGACACAAGAGTTTCACTCCATTCAATCAATGCAGGCAAAATAAAGAGAAAACTATATGATGGATAAGACGATAACACGGAAATCACTCCAGTTTTCCTAGGAAATCCAAGGGGAAAGTCACTCATAATTTCAGATCATTAAATTTATGATTATTCCATACAAATTTCAAACATTTCTTGATCATTTTGCTGACCATTTATTCAAAATTAAAATATCTGATTATTTTTCCACATTTTGTCGCCAGAGGGCAGCAATTTAAACTTCAAAGACATGTAGAAATCTCGATTGTATTTCTCTGCAGCAAATATAATTTAATTTATTTTATTATTTTGCCAAAAATATTCAATTTTTGATTATTTCATAGTAAAAATTAATATTTAAACATTTGATTAAGATTATTCAGAATCCTCAAAATTCATCAGTGATCTTACCTTGAAGAAAACTTTCAATTCTACGGTTTTGTCATTTATTTGCAGGTTAAGATTGTGTGTCAAAGCTTCTATTTTATTGTTTCCTTCTAGAAGAAGCTTTCATAGTTCATCTCAAAGCGAAGACTAAAGTTGCTCTCGTAATTGTTGAGCTACAGATTTATGGCGATGCATTTCAATGTCCTTTCGCTGTGTAGAATGCAGGTCAAAGTCTCAAGGATGTACAAGAAACAGAGTTTAATTTCACTTAAAAATAGAGACATTTTCTGAGAGCGTTGATAAATTGTGAGTGTGATTTATGAGGGTTGTGCGAAAGTGTCCTAAAACATCTCTCAATTTCCTACCTCAAGACTTACTGTGTGTGCTTAAATTCCAAATGGAATGACTGTGAAATGAGTGTTTTTCATTTAATTCACCAGCAATCTTTCTAAATGTTGCCATTCTCTCTCCTCTCTTCCTTGGCAGACACTTCGTGACAATGTGCAAGAAAGTGCGGTGATAAATTCACCACGACACACAAATGATAAATACAAGTTGATAAGAGCGGAAGCCAGCACAAGTCGCAAGCGCTGGGAAAAGTGAGGAGCATTCCTTGATCCCTGAGGAACGGCCCAGACCAACAGACACTCCACGCCACATCCGAAACTTGTGAATTATGCAGGGAAAAGCTGCGGGTGTTAAGCAACTTCTCACGATTTACGTGCAACTGTTGCAGATAATTGCCACAATTACATTTGGATGCTTCGGATCTTGCTACGGTAATTCCCACCCCCTGTCTTTTTCCACCCCTTTAGCCACCGCCCGTGCGCCCCTCGGCGACAGGTAAGGCGAACTTTCAGCATTCCCCGAGCTACATAATTAGTTTACGTGTAATATCACTTGTCAAACTCAATGATTAATGCCAACTTCTTCCCACCTTCCATTCCATTTCAACTCTCTTTGCGTAATTTATTTACTCAGGACCCGCCAAATAAACGGAAGCTCGGTATCTTTTAATCACTATGAAAATGTACAGAGGATATAAATTAATTTGGATTCACCCAAAAGCCCCTCAAAACTGCATGTTAATATCAACTTTAAGCCACCAATTTGAGACAAGGGGGAGATAATATGGTCAGAAGTGGTGTACAACTCAGCAAGAGTCTTGGGAAGTAAAAGTGTTCAAAAGCTTACAATATTTACTGTCTTGAGTGCATCTTTTCCTTATAAAACTACCCCAACCCTTCGGATTTTCTTTGATTTTTACGTAGAATCAATAAAAAATCTCTTTCTAGGTTATGTAACGAATTACAGACGGATTTAGTGAATATTTTGCATTCTAACACGTCAATTTTTATGTTCAAACCGTGAAGATTGCTAATCATTGGCAGAATAAAGCATTTTCATGTCAAGAAACACTGAAAATTGCACTGAAATTCGAACATAACCTCAAAAATAGTAATCAGGACTTCGAAAATGGTCATTTAAATAAATTTCTGCGTGATTTTAACTCTGAATAAGCAATTTTTACTTCATTAACAAATCATAAGAGATGATTTTGTGATCTAGAATGTCTCGAAACGGAGTTTTTGAGGATCTTTTAGTTATATTTTGAGGTTATGGTCGAAAAAGATGGCCAAAATGCATTTTTAAACGGATTCTTGCAGAAATATCGGATGGAAACTTAAGAAATTCATTATAATTTGAAGTCTCTGACAAACTGAAGTATTTAAAAATGGCGTAGAAATTTAGGGCGTATTATCTCCCCCTTGATATCATACTTTAAGCTTCAATTTGAGACTTGTACGCAATATTCTGATACTGAAATCGATCTCAAAGCAATCTCTCAGGGCATGCAATTACTATAATTTGGCCAATTCAATAAATTTGCTGATTAAATTGCATTTATGCCATTTATGCGATTCATGCTGAGGATTTACGACTCGAAATCTCCGCTGCAATTGATGCATTTTTAAATGAAAAAATTCCATTACAAGTGCGGAATTTTTGCAACGCCAGCCAGGAATAAAGACTTCTTTCATCTCTCGCATTAACTTGATTAAGATCTTTGATGTTTACAGAGAGTTTACGCTGTTTTAAATCTCCCTCTCTAAATGATATTATATAGAATTCCATGTAATCAGGATATGATTTGCAATGGGCTCAAAGTATCTTGACTTCCCTAAAGCGAAAAAAAAACAGTCGGAAAAGAGAGAGAGAAAAAATTGGGAGCCGCACAAAAAGGGAGAAAATGTTCAAAGAAATTGGTTTTCACGGGTAACTGAATCAATTGATTGCTCTATTTTCCTTTGAAGACTCTCAAGTGAATTGAACTTAATGTCGACTTTTAATCAAAATCATTCTGGGCTTATTTTGAGGGCTGCAAATTGCGACTGGCGCCAAACTTTCCCCCATCGCACAAATCCATAAAGATAGAGAGAAAGAGAGAGAGAGAGAGAGAGAGAGAGAGAGAGAGAGAGGAAAGCTGTGAACTTTTCATAAACTACGACGACACTAAACTGCTTCGCATGGGAAACTCATTCATTTTGGCAGTCCTTTGAGATGACAATGAAGGCGGAAGAAAGAGCATGAAATGCACTTCCGTCTTCCCAATATTCTGAGAGCGTATATTTGAACTTTTTGCGTACATTCTATAAATCCTTGATAAAAGCACGAATACTTGCTGAGCTTTCACATTAATGTCAAGCACATATCGCGAAGCGGGAGTGGGTGAAAAGTCGAGATTCTTCGATTAAAAGTTCCACTATACTTTCACCATGAATCAAGACATTCTTGTGGGAGATATGAAAGAAAATTGTGGCGAAATTTTTGGCATGCAAGAATTTACGAAAGTGGTGAGAAAGAACATCAATTGGCAAACTTACTTGGAGCTTTCTGCAATCGCTGATATTTATCCGCTCTCAGACAACTGACATGAAAATCCCATTTCACACAAATAAATAATAGTTGTGTAAGAGAAAATTACACAGTCAAATCCGATTCAAAGAGCAAAAAGCCACTTGAAAGCTTTTTCAGTTTTAAGCCAAAACGACGAATGAATTGTCGTGAATTTCGCGTTAATATTGCTGAGAAATTTGTCAAAATTACCTTAAAAGTGCGAATATTTCTCTTTAATAATTATTTTGTTGGTATTTCCAGAAATTTTTGACTAAAATATGACAAAGTTAATTGAAAAACAGAAAATATAATTTTTCAAAGATGAGTTCCAATAGTTTTCGAGTACATTTTAGCCAAATAAATTCTAAAAAACCAATTTTTTATATTTGAAATGAACTTTTCTTCAAGGTTTTCGAGTGAAAAAATTCAAAAATATGTCAAATATTAATAAAAATTTGCGTTTTATGAGTTTCACTGCAATTTCAGACGATTATCTTCAACTCTTCATAACGCCAAAAATCTCAAACTTTCATGAATAGTAGAAATAATATATGAAAATTCGACTTTTTATAGCTTTCAACTCATCCGTCGAAGCATCATAGAATTTTCATAGGAATTTCTAGGCAAAAACAGAGCAATTACAAACTTACTCATAATTTCATTACGTTGTTGTTTTGGTCGCATCGAGAAATTTCAGCTCGAATCAGCAATAAAGAGTCGATTGAGCGCTCACAAGTGCCCGAAAATGAGCCCATTTTCCCCGAAGCACCCCAGAAAATATTGCCTTGTGTAGGAATAATTATGAAATAGATTAACTTGGCTGGCAATATAGCTCGTATGTGCGATTTTATGTTGACCTTTCTCAATTTTACGCCTGTCTGCACTTCAATATGAACAGTTTCCTAATGTGCCGCATCATGTTTGTTCCCAGGCTTTGCCGGGGACGAAATGTGATTAAAATTGAATATATGACTGCCAATCTTTGGTGCACTGGATGTTTATTTTCTCCTTCATTTGCATTGCATTTGCTTCCAATGTTCGCCAAATCTTATTATCCTCATTGTCGACAGAGATCAAAGAACGTGTGAAATGTTGATTCAGTTCACTAATTCAAACCCAGAAGCATTATTCTCACGCTAAGCTTGAATGCACTTTTAATTTGTACACCGAAGAAAGTAGATTTTTGTTAACCTTTTGTGCATAACAGTTGGACATGAAGTCAAAGCTGATGGTCAGAAGAATGTGAGGGAAAATGTTGTGAAATAAGAGTATTTTTTTTTCAGCCAAAAACTGTCAAGTCCAGGAAATTATGTTGTGTAAACAATCAGGAAAATGCCTGCAAGGTTGAGAGACCTTTTCAAAGTGTATCGAGAAAAAAAAATTATTGTAGAAGCGCATGAAACTTCGCAACATTGTCGAGTTTAAAACATCCACTCAACTTCACATTGCGATTGGATTAATTTCACACTTACAAAAATATGTAAATTTTCCTCCCCCAGCAAAAAAAAAGTTTCACTCTCGTGAACTCTGGGGGTAATGAATGTGTTTGTCAACCGAAAATGGGATGAGCTTTAAACTTAATCAGTAAATATTTATGCGCTGATGAGAGCGTCAAAGTGTATTTTTCTCATTTGGTACACAACATGCCGTGTGTCCATCGCATTTCACGGACAGCAAACCCTTTCGCCAAACTCGAGAGGGAGATAGAGAGAGAGAGAGGGGCAAAAGAGGGATGAAAGGGCATTAAGAAAACATTCCCGCCCCCGTTTTGGGGATCACTTGCCTCCGAGGCTTCGTAGATATTGAATTATACAGCAAACAAGCTTACCCCATTGCTATTTATACTATCACATCCCAGGGAAAATTGTGTATCGAGACTGCAGAGGGAAAAATGGGGATGATTCCGCCCTGAAAAAAAAATCTTCCGGGATACTATTTATCTTCGCTATGAAATTCACATCAATTCTCACCACTCTCTGATTACGAAGCTGATCTTTTGCCATATTTCTTCCGACGCTCATCTAAATTAGTTCCCTCTTTTTTTTCCCCCTCATCACCATGAAAACTCATCGCGCTGTTGTGCTTGAGCATTAGAAAAATTAAATGAGAAAATTGTCATAAACATTTCCGGACATGAAATGTATGAAATATGACTTTGCTGTGCATAAAGCGCCAACAAATCCCATCAGATTCTCCTAAAATCTCCGCACGACTCTTTCACTGAACTTTCGCAGAAAACTTTCCATTTTATTTTCCCATCCCCCTTCCAATTCGGCAAGTTGGACTTGTAAAAAAGATAAAGCTCTGAGTGTCCAAACGAGAGAGCTTTCTAATTTTTCTGGCAATGCTCACGCGACAGTGAGGAAGACAGTTTTGTGGTTAGCATTGAAAATTGCCACACATTCACTGCATAGCGAGCAAGGGATTTTGCTGGGAGAAATTGAAAAACATTAAGTTTTTCTGGAACTTCCCTACAATTGCCTTGGGTGGAAGTGATAAATTGTAGTCTGTTTGTGAAGCATCGCAAGGTCTCACAATGCTTTGGGGATGACTTGAGAATGAGGAGAATATGAATTCAGCGAAAGCGATAAAGCATGAGACACACATTATGTGAAGAAATTTGTCTGCGAAAGCAGAAAACAACAAGGAAACGTATTTAAGTTGAGAATTTACTGGACATGCACAGAAGTTTCGAAATACTTTTGCGCTATAAATAATTGAATATCGCGCTATTGATTCAACTTGCAAAATATCGCAAATAAATCCCAACTCTGCAAAAGGGTTGCTAATGAGGATTTTGAGTATCAACAGCATTTTGCATTTCAAATGCATTGCGATGCAATTTATTCGGGAATTCCCAGATTGATTCGATTCGTCGTAA